TAAACTTTACTTTCAGCGAATTGCGTTGTGAAAATGAGGCAAAGAACACCTATTCAGCAGAAAAAGGGTCCAAGGAATGGGCATAGCATCAAATTTTCTCATAACAGGTCCAGTGGTACAAGAGAGGAGCTGAAAAACTTCAAAGCTAGACCGGTGTTGATCGTGCTCCTGCGAAGAGTCCAGTCCCTATAAGATCGTTATGAAGCTTTCGATTAGTGGCTAAAGTCCAACTGATACCTATGCTCAAGCCCAACTAACACCGAATAGCGTCGATGCTCGAGCAGTTGGAGCAACTGCTGCGGCCCTTCATCCTTGTGCGGTTGTGGGTGATGGCTCATCGTGACGATCGATATGAATTCGACCGGTTGAACGCCCCAGAACCCCAGCATGCTGTGGCATAAGGAAAAGTCTGAAGGTTTAATTAGTCAGTATGTCTTCGAAGGGAGCCTAAACATTATTTTCTGGGAGCAAGACCTAACACAATGGAGAATGAGATGGAGGATCGACCGAGCCTAAGTAACTATCTGACCCAGGAACCATCAGTGTTATAGGGGCTCTTTCAGCCAATATCCCTTCTTAAGCCTGGCCTGCTTTTTAGGATTGGTACTTTTAAACAGTCAAACAAATTGAAGTGTAAGTTTTAAAAAGACTCGAAATCAGAATTCTGGTGTGTGAAATGCAACAATTCACGATAAGAGGATACCCACTGTAATAATTTCCAATCATGCCATGTTATAGAACTTTTTTGAAATTTGGACCACCTTCGATATATGAGTTTGAAAGATACTTCACTGTTTTGCTAAGCTCTCGTTTCCATTTCTGATTAACGGGGTGCAGCTGCCGATGGCAGCGCCTTCGGCCTTCGATTACCTGGGATCAAAACCGATGATCGGCTCGATCAAATGCGCACTTGTGATGAAAACTTTTAGAGTTTTTTCTCACTTTTGATGTAATTGAGGAGGGGGCCTCTTAAGTAATTCTCGGGTCAATAGGACTGCTCTTGGTCTTTCGAACCGCTGTTTTCTTGGAAATTCTAAGTGAAAATATGAAGAATAAGAATATGTAGATTGTGGCCTCACGAAGAGCTCAACTCCCTCAGAACTGTCACAAAAGCCTTCAGAAAGCTACTCGAGTCCGACTTCTTCCAATATACTCCGGAGCCCGAGCAGTCGATACAGGCGTTGCAATCATTCCCTCAACGTTGTGCCGTTATCGTGTGATAGCGCTTCGTGGCGATCGATATGAGCGCATTCAGTCTATTGTAAGCTTGGATCTTCTAACATGGTGCAGGCCTGAAGTTGCGATTACTTGTACAAGATTCTTAAAAAGCAGTAACTCCATTATCTTGGAGAACACAACAGTGATAAGGAAGGCCAGTCCAGCCTATTTGGTTTATGGACCTAAACTTCGGTTTTCTTTTCGTAAGTGAGAGTTTTTTGCCAGTGCCCTACCTTCAGCCTGTTCTGATTCCTGGGAATGGGAATTTTAAACAGCTTAACAAACTGTCGCACCTACGAAGCCATCTAACCGCCGATTTCCGACACAAAGCTGACTGCGGCAACAAGTCACGGTATGAAAGCACCCGTCATGGTAATTCTTGAATGGTACCCCAAAGAATATTCTGGAGTTGGATTGCCCCTAATAATTGAGTGAGAAGGAGACCTCATTGTACTACATTCTGACTGAAGCAGAAATTTTGAAATTCTAATTGCAACACAGAATTTCAAACCTCTACTTTTTACGGATATCTCCTTTCCTTTTCTGACCAAAAGGGAGGAGCGGCCGATGGCAGCGCTTTTGATTATCTGTCAAAATCGATGATCGGCTCGATCAAATCTGGATCTGTAATGAGAAGATTTCGAGAATTTTATCACTACTTTTGGTATATGAATGTGCGGGGAACCTTGATAAAAGAGTCATCCGATCGATAGGACTGTCATTGGCTCTTCGGACCCTCTCTTCAATTTTCGAGCCTTATTCATATGTCCAACACTCCAACGGAAAAGTTGGAATTCACCAAAGGTCGACCGGTGTGGATTGGGTCCTATAAGAAAACTCAAATCGTTCAAAACCATCGTGAAGGCCTTCCAGTAAGCTGTTATAGTCTGACTGCAGCAGGAATTTCGAAGTTTGATTTCAACGTGGAGTTCAAATCTCTATTGTCCGGCCAACCTCTCAATTCCTTTCTGATTAACGGGATGGAGCTGCCAATGGCAGCACCTTCGATCACCTGAGGTCAAAAAGACCTGATCGGCGCGATCAAATGTAAACTTGTAATGAGAAGTGTAGAGGTTATTCTAACTTTTGGTATATGAGGGTGATGAGAACCTCTATAAAGTAGTCTTCAGATTAGTGAGACTGCCCTTGGTTCTTCAAGACCCTTTCTTTACTCGAAAGTTTTGAATCTAACTTTCAGCGAACTGCATTGTAAAAATGGTGCAGTGAGGCCTATCCCACAGAAAGATGATCTAATGAATGCTCCAGATTTCCTCATCGCAGGTCCAGTGATTCAAGAGAGGAGCTGAAAATCTTTAAAGCCGAGCTGATGTTGATCGTGTGCCTGCAGAGAGTTCAGCCCCTTCAAGTCCGTTATGAAGATTTCCAATGAATTTCTCAAGTCCTATTGTTACCGATGCTCAAGCCCTACTGATACCAAATAGCTTCGATACTCGAGCAATCGGTGCAACTGCTGCTGGGCCATTCCTTGTGCGGTTATGTAAGATGGCTCATCATGACGTTCGATATGAACGCATTCGATCGGTTGAACGCCCAGAACCCGGTGTAACGAAAAGTCTGAAGATTTAATTAGTCAGTACGTCTTGGAAGGGAGACTAAATTTTGCTTTTTCTGAGAGCAGGCTCTAACGCAGTGGAGAACGAGATTGAGGATTTACCGAGCCCCCGTATTTACTTGACCCGGAGACCATCAGTGTTATAGGGGCTCTTTTTGCAAATATCCCATCTTAAGCCTGGCCTGCTTTTTAGGAATGGTACTTTTAAACAGTCAAACAAATTGCTCAACGGAAAGTTTGAAGTTTTAATTAGTCCGGGAAGTCTTGGAAGGGAGACCGTTCTGTATTGATTGGATGTTCTTAATAACTGCTGTTATTTCGCCGCAGTACACTTTGCAAATGTGTAAATTTCTAAGTTTTGTTTTCTGGGATTACGCTCAACACACTGAAGAATGGGTTTGAAGACCTATCGAACCTACTAGCCATTTGATTCGCGGACCATCCGGTAGTCTTCGCTTCGTAGGGATGGGAATTCTAAGCACCTAAACAAACTGTCGGATCTACCGATCCGCAGTCTCAACTAGGAGACCCGTATTCGACATGAGGTTTACTTGGAAGTTAATTTCGGACTCACGGAGGACCTCGTAACTCATTTATTCGTAACAAATCTCCAACATACCAGCATATTCACTAAACCTCAGATCTGCTTCACAAAGATGTCCGGCTATGTGCGGAAAATTCAACTTCAGGATGGACCCAAACCCGAACTTAGGAAAAAGGAGAGTATTTGCTTTAACGCTACGGATCTCCTTTCACTGAGGGTTCTCTCTCACTGAAGGATCCCCAGCCGGTTAGTGACGAGGCTACGTAGGGCGTCCCCAGGTGGCGGATAGGGGAATTAATCGCCGACCAAAAGTCACCGGTACTTGCCCAGAGACGCAGGTGGATTCAGGGGATGGACTCCTTGATTCTGCTGTGCTGGGTCGATATACCCTCTGTACCTCGCTGGCGATCCACGCATACGTGTGTGGAGAGTCTGTGGGTGCAGTTGGTATCCTGCCCATCGACTCGGCCAAAAGCTTGCATTCGAGTGACGATCAAGTCACACTGGGAAGTATCTGGGAGGCGATTCGGGGCCGCCTCCAAAAACAAAGCCCCTTGTCCACTTCGGGATAGCCTGGCAAGCCCCCGGAGTCAATAGCCCCCACGTCAGAGCCTGGCAAGCTGCACGTTGGGTATCTTCACGCCAAAAACAGTAATAGAAATGGGCCTCATTCCCCTGAACCTGAGGGAGCCCCCAATACGGCAGCGTTGGGTAGGACCGCTCGGGAGAGGCTGCTAAAATCTCAGGGCCAAAACAGGCTGCCCAAAAGGAGAAGGACTAAGATGGCGATCTGTACTTTCAACGCACGGACGCTTGCATCGGAAGCGTGTATAGAAGACCTGATGATGCAAGCTAGGAAGATCAAGTACGACGTCATCGGACTGACCGAGACGAGAAGGCATCGCCCGCTGCACGCTGTATTTGAGACTGGAGAAGAACTGTTCCTT